GCTGTGTCCCTGCTCTCGGGAGCATCTGCTCCCCTCACCTCAGCATCCCTGCTTTCCTCAGCGTGTCCCACAACACCAGCGGCGTTTGGCCCATGCGCGACGTGGCCCCTCCAGAGCATCCCTCCCTCCCTTTCCCAGGGCAGCTCGGCACAGGAAAAAAGAGTAAGGGAAATATTTCTGTGGTTGCATCAGGGTGTTCCTGGCTCCCGCCTTTCCCATGGATGCTGGGAGCTTGTGCACCTCTGGGCCTTCCCCAGCTGCTCTGAACGCCCTGTCTTCAGCCCTCTGAGCCCCCCAACTTTTCCCACAGGAGCTTGTCGAGGGCCAAACCCTGAGGGACTGTTTTCCCCGTGTGCTCGGGGGTTTGTGATGTGCTGTGGAGGTCTGGGTGTCTCTGGCTTCCCCCATTGTATCCTCTGCTCATGGAGCTACTGGAGATGGCACCGTCTCCAGCAAGATGTGCGCTCCTGGGGAGCCTGATCCTGCACAAAACCCACTGAAAAAACCCACCAAGGGCCTATCACCCTGCCCTGTAAGTGCTGGACTCCAGTGTGGTGACAGGAGGAGAGGTGGTGGTCCCAGAGGTGACCCAGCTGGGTCCAAGGGAGGCTCAGCCCTGCGTTGGTGGCTGGTGATCCCTTTTCCTGCCAGCTGCAGGGTCTTGGGGTCTCCTGACGTGCTCCAAGCTGGGAAGGGCATTGCTGGGATTTGCACACACAAGGCATCTGTCCCATGTCTGAGCTGGGTCCCCGCGTGTTCCCACACCCAACCCGCACACCAAGATACCCTTAAACCCTTCTGGGTCACAGCAGAGTGACATTTCCCTTGGGGAACCATTTCTATCAACTTCTGTTTAAGTGAAGCAAACAATTAAACAAAAGGAAAAGCTTTTTACACCCCCAAACGCCTGCTCGTTCCTCCTCGCCGGTCTTTGTTCACCGTGCTGTGCCGTGGCGAGCCAGGACAGGCCCTGGCCGAGGGCGCTGCGAGGGCCGTGCAGCGCTGGTGCCGCGGGCAGTGCCTCCACCGCCATCCGGGGGGTGGTGACAGGCCTGTTCCTATCCCGGTAACAGGATTTGAATGAGTTTTTCCTCATGTGGTGTCCAATGCAGTGGATTTTGGGAGGGCTTGCATGACTTCAGTGGCATCACCTGCAGTGCGTGAGGTGGGCAGGATTCATTTGGGGCTGGAATTGGGGCTTTCCTGGATTCCTGTCATCTGGGGGATGCTGGAATGATGTCCTTGAAGCCCTGGGCTCAGTCCTTCCTGGGTTGAATCCTGCTGGGACTATCTGAGAACACTGTTCCCGAAAGGGAGGAGCTCAGTGGCAAGGGCCCTTATCCCCAGTGGGATCAGGCAGCATTCCCAGGAGGGGAGCGGGCATAGCCTCCCTGGCCAGATCCATCCTTCTGGAGGGTACCGGCACTGATGCAGCTGCATTTTGCAGAGATGAGCTGGTTCGGGTGAGATGTTGGAAGACTCTGCTGGCATAGGGAGGGAAGGAACAGGCTCGGAGCATCCCTGGTGGTGTGCAGGTCCCAGAAATCTGTGTTGCTGCCTCCTTTGTGGTGTCTCATTACCTTCGAGTGATCCTGAAGCTGCTCAAAATGCTAATAGCTGTTAATGAAGCGGAGTGGGCGCTGGGCTTGTCTCTGCCTGGCAGTGTGGTGGGAGAACGGGTGCTGCTGCGGATGCATCGCTTGGGTGCCTCCCTCTCCTTGGCCCTGCATGCAGGGGGCTCGCAGGTGACACTGTGATGTGGGGGAGAAGGGGAACTGAACAGGAGAGGTGGCCAACCCCCTAGCAGTCATACCGCTTCTGACACTGTTGTAGAGTGGTTCCTGTTGGCAAGGACCTCTGGTCTAAGCCACTGCTAAACTTTGAGGCTAAATCAGGCTGCACAGAGTCTCAGATGGGTGAGATGCAAAGCTCCCCAAACATGGAAATCCCACCACCTCCCCAGGCCCATCTGTCACCACCCTACCCGAATAATTAGATAGGATTTCTCCCCTTGTTGCCTCTCATCCTTTTGCCATGTGTCTCCATGTCAGTCTAACTGCCCTGTCCCAGTGGGGCTGTGTGTAGCATCATGAGTTCCAAATCCTTCTCTCTTTGGCTGGATGACATTGGCAAGTGTGTGGTTTTTGGAAGTGGAGCCATTGACACCCTCAGTGTAGTGACGATGGCATCACAGAGCGCAAAACACGTTCACGTTGCTCCTGGCTTGTTCCGCCTGCAGCCCAGCTGAGCAGGGCAGCACCTGCCTCGGTTAACAGGGGGGAAGAAAACCTCATTTTTGTGGAGGTACGAATTCGATTTGCTTCGAAATATCTCAAATTTCACCTGAAACTTCAGCCCAAACTGCGAATCAATTGGGCAAATCAATCCCAGTGGAAATGAGAACCTCCTGTGCACATAACAGGAATTAGATGTCCAAAAAACACATTTTTAGACACCTAAAAATAACATTTAATAGTTATGAACGTGCTCGTGGAGGGAAGGAGCGTGCCTGAGGCTGGTTGGTGTGGTCTCCTGGGCTTTGGGATGGTGGGCTTTGAACTGCAGCTGGTGGCAACCTGGACCATCCCCGGGACAAGGCGTAACTGGTTTAAACTGGAAGAGGGAGATTGAGGTTGGACATTAGGAAGAAATTCTTCCCACAGAGGGTGGGGAGGCACTGGGACAGGTTGCCCAGAGAAGCTGTGGATGCCCCATCCCTGGGAGTGTCCAAGGCCAGGCTGGATGAGGCTTGGAGCAACCTGGTCTAGTGGAAGGTGTCCCTGCCCATGGCAGGGGGTGGGACTGGGTGGGCTTTGGGGTCCCTTCCCACCCAAACCAGTCTGGGATTCTCTACACTGGAGCTGGGACCTTCCTGCGTGGGCAGCTGCCCTCTGGCTGGTCAGGAGCTGGGAATGTTTGCTCGCCTTTGTAGCTGGGAAGGATCAGTCCTTGGTGCCTCTTGGGTGCTCCCCTGGCTTCACCACCATCCCCATCACCCTGGTCTCACTGGTGCTGTGCATGGAGAAAACCCGACTCTTGGGCATCTCCAGTGCTCCCATCCCAAGGGGTTGTGTTGTGGAGCCCTCACTGAGCTGACTGACCTCAAGGAGGGGAACAAATACTCTTCCACTTAATTAAAAATGCCTTTCTTTTAATTATTTCTCCTTAGAATAGCTTAGGTGGAAGGGGGTCTCTGGAGGTCGCTGGGCCCAGCCTCTGCTCAGAGGCTCAAGTTAGCCCCAGTATAAGGGTTGTCTTATTTTTCCTTAAATAAATCCCAGGAGAATAACAAACCTGGGCTCCAGGGTGCTTTTCCTGCTACTCTCACCAGGCATTCCCAGAGCCTAGGATGGCACCGTCTCCATCCCTGTCCTGCGTGGCAATTTTGCCTTTATTTCCAAAAAGCCCTGTGCCCACTCCGGTGGGGAACAGGAGTGCTCCTCCAAGTGATGCTTGTTTATAGAGCGTGATCCTGTTATGACAAGCACTGGGGGGACCGGAGATGAGAATAAACTGAATATTATAAACCTGCAAACTGCAGGCTGAGCTGGTGGATGCGAAGCTGAACCACCCGGGCTGCGGGATTGGGATTTCCAGGCAGAGTGAGCAAGAAGCAACCACGAGCTGCAATTCCCCTAAAATATGGGGAGGTTGGAGCATCCTCCTTCCCTTTGCTAAGTAGGAGTGGATTTAAGGAATTGGTCTTAAAAGCCATGTGCAGATGGGCAACCGCTTTGCATGGGGTCTGGGCTCGGGATGTCGCTGTGGGTCACACGTGGCCTTGGGGGTCCTGGGTCACAGTCAGGGGTTCGTGGCATTGCTCACCCCTGGTCCTGTGAGCTGGGTGCAGGAACTGCAGCTGGCTCCCTGCTGCATCTCGCTCCTGGCCATGGGACAGGGTTCTTTTTTGGAGGGGAAAAAAAATAATCCCCAACCTCAAGGGAAACAGGATTTACGTGCGAGACCCAAATCACACCAACAACTGGATGTGAGCTGGGAGTTGCATGCCTGTGAGAGCAGCTTCTGGGTCATCCGCATCCCTGTGGCTGTAAATCCCTGCAGGATGCTCATCCCGAAGACCCCGGTGGCTGTAAATCCCTGCAGGATGCTCATCCCGAAGACCCCGGTGTCTATAAATCCCTGCAGGATGCTCATCCCGAAGACACCCACTGTGTAGCCTTGGGGTTTCAGCCTTTTGGGATGGAAAAAGAGGAGTCACAGTGTCTACAGCTGCCGGGATGAGAGGGCTTGGCAGGGCGCTTTCCCGCAAGCATTTCAGCTCCGTGCAGGGAAAAAAAAAAAAGGCAAAAACTTGTAAAAGGGGAACGTGGGGCTTCCCTGAGCTGAAGGGAGCCAGTGGGGCTGCCTTTCCCAACTCCCTGTCGCTCCCGGGCTGCACTTACTGCTGGGGAAGGGCCCCAGGCTGGGGCATCCCTTGGGAGGGGTGGTTGGAGATACTATTTTTTGACTCCTGTTGCCATCCCTGACTCCAGGCTAAACGCATTTATATCCCAGGCTAGCATCCCAGGGATAACAGGCATGGCATTCACCTCTCCTTACGGGGCTGTTCTTGCTGCTGGGGCGAAGCCGGAGCATCGGGTGGGGAAAAGCAGCACGATGAGGCACAGCTCCCCCGGCTCCAGCTGCTGAGCTCATTTTTATCTCATTATTTCAGCTTGGGAGCTGATGGAAGGCAGTTTGCAAGGATGCGCTTAATGGGTGAAAATTCATTAAAAAAAAAAAGTTTTCCAGGTTCTGTTGTGCCGGCGCAGCGTCCTGCCACCAGCCCTGTTTGCCACGGCGGTGGCACTGGGGTCAGTGCCAGCATCTTGCATCCATCCCCTCCCTGAATCCTGGCTTTGTCCGGGAGCTGCGTGGGAGAAAGGGATTTGGGGTGCGGGGCACTGCTGCACCGATGCGCAAAGGGATGCTGCCAGCACCAAAATGGGGGGCAATCATGGAAAAACCTAACTTCTAATAAAGAATTTCTCTTTTTGCAGATCGGGAGTTTGGAAAACTACTACCACTTTCACCACAGCAAGACGTTTAAGCGCTCAACGCTGAGCAGCCGAGGACCGCACAACTTTCTCCGCATGGATCCCAAGGTACGGAGCGGGGCAGCCTGGGGTCCCCTGTCCCTGCAGGAGCAGCGGGATGGGGGTCCCCGCTTCCCCCTCGGGGAGTCCGTTGGCTTGGTCTGGGTCAAGCGTGAGCCCAGGCATCTTGTTATCCCTGAACTGCAGCCCTGTGCACGCACGGGGTGACTCACTGGACACGGGTACGTCGATCCGCGATGAAAAATACTCAGTGACTAAACGCTAACATCTGCCCGAAAGCCGGGAGGAAGAAAAGCAGGAAAAAAGCCTTTCAGGGCAGAAAGGCAGTTGCATGCTCAGGGTGTTGCTCCAGTTGCCACAACACTTGCTGCCTCAATGGTTGCTATGTGTGAAATCCTTGGCAATAGCTCCGCATTGCTTTTTCCTAGAGCAAGCATCCGAAGGGATTTTCAGCGCAGCTGAATGGACAAAAGTAATGGGTAGGGGGGAAGAAGGAGGGACGGGGTGAGCTGGGTGCCAGGGAGGGGCTGCAGCTCTGCCTTGGCTTTCCTCTCCCCTGACCTCCACCTGACACCCGAGCCTTGCGAGATGCTGCTTTGGCAGAATCGGGGAAGGGTTCGTGTGTTTTTTGGGGGGAACTAAATGCAGAAAAAGCCATTGTGGTGGAGGTAGCCACGCTGCAGCGACCTGCACCCATGCCCAGCCACCCTTGGGATCCTCTTTCCTGAGACGCATCCCATCCACATCCCTCTAGACGCACACAGCAATCCTGTTTTCCTCAGCCGGCCGGCTTTCCGGCGAGATTTCCCGTTAAATATTTGGACAGGGTCTGTAGCGTGTTTGTGAGGAGTTGCCAGTGGGGGAAACCTCAACAAGGGGAGCGTGGGTGCTGTAATTAAAGCTGATCACCCTCGGGGAGGTGCACAGGCATCCCAGCAAATGATTAATTCACGGTCTGCGACTGAAATACCTCCATTTAAATGAGTCTGGTTGTAATGCAAACCAAATCAATTGGCTTTTAGTCTTATTAACATTTGCCTTACCTTGCCCTATGGACTACAAGGCAGAGCAATTAGCTTCCCTTCTCTTAATCCTTCTTATCACTTGGAAGCTTCTTGGCAAGTGTTATCTCTGCCCCTTTCCCATGCACATTTCGAAGATTTTGGAGATGTCTTGGCATTTGGAGGGCTCTGGCTTAGTGTGAGGGCTTAGCATGTGTGAAGCAGGGAAAACATCACCTCGAGGCACGAGATGGAAACAAATCTTGCAGAAATCCCGAAGAACCAGCAAACTCAATCATTTGCAGATGTTGGGTGGTCTGTGCCTTCCAGGGGCTATTGTTTCCAGCACCATTATTTACGCTCTGCCCTGGGGGTTGGTAGCACAAGGGCCAGGTCCTGGTGAGAGGACCATGGCCAAGCTCTCCATCCCCAGGACTTGGGTGGCTGGGGAGGGGGAGACCCAGGGAACACAGAGCAGCATCCCGAGCCGGGGTGCGCCATGCTGTGCTACCCCTCGTACGGGCTCATCGTGCAGCTCTCCTTGCCATAAACTTTTCCAGCTCGCTGGGATGCTCTGTTTGGCCCTTGTGGTGCTTGAGCCTTCAGCCTCACTGCTCCGGTCTCTTCATCCTCATCAGAGGAAGTCACAGCCTTGGTCCCTGTGCCCCTGACCACGTATTGTAGGAAAACCAACCCCACCTAAATTCTGCCACGCTTTATGGCAAACGTGCCAGAGCCATCTGGTGTGTCCTGGATCTCCGCTTTAATTCCTACATATCCACTGGAATAAGTCAGGGTATTGCTTTTCTGGAGCTGCAAAGGGAGTTGCCTCCTTGGCTGTGCTGGTTATCAGGTTTGATGTCTGGATCGGGGCATCACCCACTGAAAATCTCAAAGTAAGGGGGGACATGAAAAGCTGCCCCTCTGTTTCCAGCAAGGATGAAGGTTCAGCTCTGCTATACCTGTGTCTCCTCGCAGGGTCCTTTGGTGCCACTCACACTCTTGTTATTGTTAATTAGGGTTTGCAAGGATAGAGCAGGGACCCCACAGGCTCTGGACTGTGTTGTAACAGTTTTGGTAATTTCTAGTAGCAAAAAGACTTTTTTTTTTTAAATTTCCGAGAAACTTCTCCCCCACCGGATGGGCAATGGAAGTCGATCTGAGTTTCACAAGCTGCGGGAGCCATTGCAGGGATGCTCCAGGCTCCTTCCCACTCGCCCGTTGTCTTTCCACACCAGCCACATCGATTTAGCAAAACCCCCTTGAAATCACCGCCGTTAAACCGCTGATTCCTGTGTCCATGCAAGACTTCTCCAGCGGCTCCCGGCTGGCAGCGCTGGGGCCGACGTCCCCGCCAGGCACTGCAGCTCCTGGCGAAACCCCGCATCTTCCCATCATTCCTGCATCCAGCACAGCCGCAGGGAAGGGCGATCGCTCTGCCTTGGGCAGCAAGACCCATGGTAACGCTGCCAAGGAGTGCTGCTTTAAGGAGAAAAGCTGGGTGTTTGGGCCACATTCTCTATTTAATGTATTTATTTTTTTTAAACAAGACCATGAAGCTGTATTTTTGCTTCCAATGCTTAAATCCATAGTCATATAAGCAAAGCAGCGTGCTGTCGTCGGCCAAGGCAGTGTGGAAACTAATTTTTCTATGAAATATGTTTTTGGGTTTTTTTCTTATCAATAGTTTTTGGGTGTTGTTTTGTTTTTTTTTTTTTTTTCTTTCAAATACATGTTTAAAACCTAAGCTCTAGGCTGGAAACTGTCAGGTTTCTGATTCGCACAGCTCCCCATCCGCCTCCATCCGAGTCAGAAAGCCATAAGCCATGCAAGAAGAACTTGGTTCAGCTGACAGTTTCATATAAATGAGCCCAACAAAAAC